GTGTTTAGATCTGATGCTGCTTGGGCTGTAAACTTCCAAAGAGTTGCGATTAAGTCCAAGCATATACACAAAGCAGAATTTGATATCTCAAAAAAAAAAACACACTCAACAAACTAGCTGCTCTCTGATTGGTCTGACTATTAGGTATTAGGGTTGAGTAGCCAATCAGACAAAATCTTGTAAGTTAGCTTCGCAATGACTCAGGAGTTGATTTATACCTGTTCTCGTCCTTCAAGGATACATCCTGTTTGTCATCAAATGCAAATCTGATATGCCTTGGCGTCTCAGGTTTTGGTTCAACTGTAACAGCTATGAATGTAGAGAAAAAAAAATAACAAATATGTAAAATTGTGAATAAGGATGACAATAGATCACTTTCACAACCTCTAAAAGGTCACATATCCTGGTACTTTCATTGGTATAAAAATATATTTTATTGATATTTCAACAAAATTTACACGATGTGAATTATCTGATCAGATTAATCTGATTGTGTAAACTGGCTTTAAGAAATGGTTAGGTTTGTTGGTGGAAAACAGTTGTGTTAACAATTACAGAATTTATTGAAATAGCAGTGGAAATGGTTAGAATAGGTAAGTGTCAATATTGCCATGTCGCTGTTAGCCTGGTCGCACATCCTTGAGACGATCACTGATCGCATCGTGTTTAAACGATTGGTAAAAACATAAAAACGATTGGTAAAAAATCAAACAGATAGACTGAGTTATTGACTTGGAAACCATTTTGTGTTTTTGATGCATTTAGATGAGAGTGCATCCACTAAAGTGTTTAATACATGAATGCTCTTCAGATGTTGTGCCAACAGTGTGATTTAGTTGGACTGACACCACTGAAGTATTTCAATCACTAATTTGTTCAGTGTGAGATATTTGAATGGTCGCCTTGTTACATCTGTCAATTTGTTGCAAGGAAACAATACTGCACGAAGGCTAACATTGATTTCTGAACAGCAGTCAAAATTGACCTTTTTGTTGTTTTTGTATGTTGCCTTACTTACGCTATGTGACAAGCTTTTGTTATCGATATAAGAATCAATTTTTTTTTTTATGATTGATTTGTAGTGTTAAAGGGGGAGTCAAGCCAAACAACACAATGACCCCTCCCAAAAAAGCTCAACAAATGTAGGAGAATGCAATTTACAGTTTTTTTATATCACTTCTCATTCTCAATTTTTTTCATCAGTATTATGTAGTCAGCCATCTTGATTCTCAAGCAAGGGATTATGGGTAAAGTATGACATCATAGAATCTGTTGTCAGAAATTGAGAAAATGATTTCATGGGATTGTGGCTCTTAAAAGTTTGATCAGTCAATTCCTAATTCTCACAAACTCTGGTCCATTTGTTACACACTTATTATTATTGGCAAAGAAGGAACATACATTAGTAATAATACATTGAATAGATGTTCCTGTACATTTTGTATTGGGTATGTGATTTGAAAGTCCTGGTCTGGGTGAAAATCAGAATCGGATACTGAATAAAACCCCATTGCGAATTCTCATGCATTACAGAAAGCTTGGTTAGCATATCAACACATTGTCTGCAATGCTCTTTTATCCCCTGTGATTTTGGTATTAAAGTGTGTGGGGTCTTTCACAGCAGGAGATGTGTGAAAACAAAGAACAAAACACATTTGTTCACATGCACAATACTGACCGAAGCTTGCCTTCTTACGATGGAATCGAGGCGGCGTTTCTAAAGTGATATTTCCTTTAAATACAGCTGGAAAAGCAAGAATTATAAAGCAAAATAAAATACAAGCAAAATATGACACCAGCAACATTAAATCAAGCAAATATTAGACATTAGCACACACACACAAAAAAATAGAACTTTAATAGCAAAAAAAAGTTGCATTCATTCAACAGATGCAATTCAGTACTGCCTTACATCAAACCATAGTGTTTCAAATCTGGGTGACATTTTTGAAGTAATTTGTTTGTTTTATTGTTTTTGAATTCCAACTTCAAGTCAACCTTTTTTTATCATTTGCAAAATAAACTACTATAATTTATTTCCATATTTATTTTATGCCAAACTTTGTTCAAAAAGAAAAATTAAGTCTATTTAGTTAAAAATTAAAAGTGAAAAATAAATAAAAATGTGCAAAATGTTCCACCAAAATAAAGACATTCAAGAAATTAAAACAGAGTCCTAAAAATGAATACATCATATTTAATTATATTCTTAAATCACTTACCACTAAGCTGTTTGGGCTTTATGTCAGGACTTTCCTGTGCTGGACTAGGGGGTCCACTGATATCTTCACCAGGGCTAGAAGTTGTTCTTATTGGCTTTCTGACTTTTAATATTGATTGTGGTGTTGGTTGTGGAGTTTTAGTTTTTCTCAATGATCCCGGGGTTCTCTGTGAAAAAAAAAAAAGAAGACAATTTTACCAAATCAGGTATCACATGTTGAAATTTCAAAATAAAATGTTACAGCAAATAGACAAGTTTTTGGTTTAATTCTCTAGCAAGTTCCCTGGTTGCATGACAGCCAGAGCACTTGAAACTCCACTATTGCTTTCATACATAACATTAAAAATATTTTATAAGAAACTGGCATATGTTAGTGCACCACCACCAGTTGAAATAGAGAAATGTTTAGCAAATCAGATTGCTCCTTGTATCTAGTATAGAGAATATTTTGATGTAGGGGTTTGTTTGAGGTTTTTTCAGTTGTTTCATGGAAAGATGACTATACTTGTCTTGGATACTAATTATTAAAACCACAATCCACACAAAGTGTTGTACTTACCTTTCTCACAGGCGGTGTACATAGCAATGAAAGAGCTGCAGCACTGGTGAAATCAGATACACGTCTAGTGTAAAAACAAGGTAGTACACATTGGATAGGTCAGAGTAATGTCAATTTCTATCCCAAAAAACATCTTAACCAAACACTTTCTGTTAGAAACATTATAATTATTATAATGGTATGAATTATTTTTTCCAGTAGATACAATTCTATCATATACATTCAGTTAAGATATCTGAATTTTTGATATGATTGGACAATCACTACGAGACTTGTCAAGAAAAAATAAAAAAGACTGTCAAAGCATCACCTTTCCTCATTGACATCAAGCAAAACCTTCAATGTCATCAGATAACCACCAATAGAACCATTCCTTACTTACCTCTTCATCTGATCCATAAACATTGGCGGTGATGACAGATTTACAGACTGTTGTGGGGAAGTTGAATATAGTCTTTGTATTCTTGGGGAGGATGGCTTCATCTGCGGAGAGCTATCCTCAGAATACATTATTTGGGGGTACACTAAACTTCTTTTATCACTGAAAAAAAAAAAAATGTTTCAACATTTTAAGGATAGACACTAGTGACGCATTTTCATACAAGTCTACTCTTCATGACTGGTTGTTTGAAAATGTCTGGGAAACGTTTTTGAGTTGCGTGTACAAGTCAAATAGTTGCAAAATAGAGCAACCACAAGAGAACTTGTGAGAAGGATAAGATCTGAGAATGCTCAATGATATATTCACGAGGTTATCGCACTTGTTTACGCTATGTGTGCATACATGTATGCAATGACTGGCTGTAAGAACTTGTGTGTTCGTAACACAGGAAAAAATAACAACGTCCACTGCTGTTGTTATCAAATATACATGTATGTGATCCTGTTAATAAAACAACTTACATGAAACATTGTCACAGCAGATTGCAAGCTACTTATAATCAATTTGTTATCAGACACTAGCTTGCTGGTTGGCAAAAATGTAAACATATGAAGTCACAGTGTGATGGCACGGCATGGCATATAAACTGTACTAATAATTGACGCAGATCAATGTTGATAAGAGTACAAATCTTAAAATTTTGCTCCCTCTAACAATTCATCAATCTTATTATTTGATTTTCACAGTTTGTTGGCTTCTAAAATTTCGACCCAATCACATTTTTTTTTTGTTCTCGGTGCTCCTAATTTTCGCCCACTTTTTCTTGTACCCATAGTTCTGTCTGATTTCGGTGACATTCTGCCTTATTAAGGGTTTAAACAAGATTAAAGATTATAATATATCTTATTCATGATTTAATTATTGGCATTAGGATAACAAAGATGAACAAGCCATGCATGGCACAGTCCCCGTTAGTTATCGAATTTAAAGTGCCTGTGCAATGCCCACCCTCACGTTTTCCATTTTAGATCTGTGTCCCACTGAAATGGGCAGTTATTGATTTTTTTGCTGAAAATGATTACTCGTATCCAAGTAAATTTGGGATATTTCTCGTGTTGTAGCCACGCCCACATATCGTGAAACGGTCGACTGTTTCCGGATTTCCACCAAATGACAAAATGTGCGAGGAAGTTATACCCCTGAGCTGTAGTAACACTTGTCATTCAGTATACTTTTAAACGATATACACATTTTTTGGTCGGCGTTTTTTCTTTTTTTTTTGTCTATGTTATTTTTTTTGAGAGAGAGTTTTTAGGTGTTGTGTTGTGGGCAGTTGCAGTGAAACGTATAGTCATAGTGTATGTATTCACACGTTTCTAATCGGTCCGAAGGTGCGACATCAGTGGACGAAAGCCACTTAACCTCAGATTCATTTTTTTTTGGAAAAACTGTCCTCGTCCATGAAAAAAAAAATAATAGGTTTAAGGAGAAACGCCGACAACGTAAACCTGGCGCAACACTTTTGAAAGAATTAGATTCTGGACAAGGCCATGATCACCGAGGCGGATTTCAGAAGAGAGAGAGACGTCCGGCAAGTGTTTCAAATGAGTTGACTTTTTTTACGATCCTGATTATCGTTTTATAGAGACCATTTAGTCCCTGTTAAGTAAAATGTAGCAATAATTTTGACAGTGACATGAAAACGAAGCGTCGGACAAACAGGAAATTACACAGCCCTTACACACTGCTAATTGTTTTCATTTTCGAAGGCTAAAAGTTTCTGAATTGTTTGGTGTTGAATGTCAAATTCACACCTCTGTTCTTTTTTTACCCCCATGATTGCAGCTTGATCTGCATAATAATGTATGTGCCTAGCAACCTGCTAAATAAGATAATTCCGACGTCAAATTCTATTTTGTCCAGCGACAGTGTACAAACGTGCGTCGGTGTCGATCACGGTGACCAGCTACACCAGAACGGACATATTTCGCATCTAACTCAAGCCCATGCAACAAAAATTGATACTGTGTGTTCATTATGGTCCATTCTTCCTCGACGAACAAGTACATAAGTGACAATTTAGTCAAAGACGAGAAAACTGCACAAGAAATTTGCCTTATTTACACTTATCGGCAATGCAAGCTGTCATGCGACTTCCCCTTCTGATGTCACAAATGGAATTTCTGTATGCAAATGAGAAGCTAATGAGGAACCTCATTTTAAAATACACAAAAATAAAGTTGCTGTAGACTGAGTTTAAAACACATTTTTTCACTTAAAAAAATAATTCATGCTTAGAAACATAAAAATTAATAATATTTATGTATCAATGGATAACTTTAGGCGTGAAAATAGCAGCCATTTCACATGCACTTTAAGATATATAGTTTTGTTTATAGTAATATAGCTGGAATATAAACATGTCAGGAATACGATTATGATGATTGTTTAACATTTAAATGATTGACATTTGTATCTGATCGTCAAACAAGTATTGAGAGATATTGCTCTGGAACAGCATTAATTAAAACAAAATCAGTCATTTTGAATACATGTATAATGAATATATAAAATTTGAACATAGTCAGTAAACGCATGTCAGAGATATGGCTCTAGAAGCCCATTCATTAAAACAAAATGGCCACTAGTTAGCCATTCTGAATCTGATCTAAAAAATAAAATAACGTGCATCAGGAACGCGTAATGTTTAATGTATGTACCAAGTTTGAACAAAATTCATCCAGAAATGCTTGATATTTGATGATTTTTTAGCACTAAAATGGCCACCATTCCGCCATTTTTAATAGGATCGTCAAACCAATATATCTGTATATCTATGACATGATGTATAATGAATATTTAAAATTTGAACATAATCAGTCACAGCAAGTCAGAGATATGGCACTAGAAGCACATTTATTAAAACAAAAATGGCCGCCAGTCGGCCATTTTGAATCTTATCTGAAAAACAAAACAAAATGATGAGCATCAAGGTCTTATAATGTCTAATGTATATACCAAGTTTGAACAAAATGCATCTGTAAACAGCCGAGAAATGCTTGATTTTGATGATTTTTAGAACAAAAATGGCCGCCATTCGGCCATCTTGAATCAGATCGTGAAACAAATTGATGTGCATATGTATAATGCATGTGTGAATGTATGTGTGAAGTTTGATTGTGATTGGTCCAGACATTTCCAACAAACAGGTCCAGACCCACGCACGCACGGACTGACGGACGGAAGCACGAACTGACGGATGGAAGCACGGAAGTCAAAACATAAGTCCCCGTATTCAAACTGCGTATGAACAGGGACTAAAAAAAATAACAGAAATCCAAAATGTTATGAAAAATTGTTTTTGTATCGGTTTCTGTGGTGAAATTATTTGTCATATCCCAAAATTTTGCTCAGTGACATACGGATATTAGTGATATATTTCAAAAAAATGAATTTTAATAGTGAGTTTTTTAGTGTGATAATAGTTTTCAATAACCATATTAGTAGCACATTCATTTACTTAAAGGTGTTTCAAAAGTTAAAATAAGTAATATTTTAATTCAGTATACAACAAATATGATTATTTTAAATCTAAACAATGTTGTGCAAAAAATAAATTTCACTAATCAAAAGCATGTTACGATACCTTAGAACTGTTTTACTTCTTGGAGTAACTGGAGTACCAACAAACGGATCAGCTTCGGTGATGCTTGGTGCACTCTCAGACAGTCTGAAAGAAAGAACGTTTTACAGTGAAAAAAGGTCAATTTGTTGCTTGATAATTTTGCAATGCATCCCTGCTGGGTTGTATTTGTTTTTTATCCTCATTATTTTCACATCTACGACAAAAGTATTTCACAAGTTGCAAAAATTTACTAAAATGCTTGGAAGCAACATCGCCCTCTTGTGTCAAATAAATGTTTTTCTCACCTTCTCTTGATTGGAGTTTCGTCATCTCTTGTCTGACATCTGGCTTCAGATATCTTATCCAGTACAGCATTGAGTAATGTAGCATGTGATATCACCTGACTTTTCCCACTTCTATTCACAACAGTCGACAAAGGTTTGGGTCTAATGACTAAATAGGAATGAATAACAACATTTTACAAAGCAGTTGGGAACTTAGACTGACTAAGTCATAGCAATTTTACTATTTTATATGGCAATTCCTCGAAGAATAAGTTTGTGGAATTTCCCATCTTGATGCAAAATTCCCTCGACTGATTTGTTCTGCCGCACCCCTCTTAGTTGTCACTGTGTATTTTAGGTGATAAATATGCTAATGAGTAGCGTGAATTGTAAAGTGACAACCAATAAGAAAAGGCAGCTTTTAAGATTCAACCTGTTCTATGCAACTACATGTATAACACATGTGTAGCCTGACGCATAGAATCTTTTACACAAGCAGACATCTACTTTTCTCTTTAGGAAGTGTTCCACTCACAGGTTCCATAATGTCACTGGATATCACAAATACGTCTCAGAATAGACCAGTCGTGGTAATTTTGCATCAGACCAAGATTTAAGAAAGTATTATTAAAATTGTCATGGCTCATGGTAACAGCCAGGGGGGGGGGGGGGTAAAACTTTAAGTGCGTTCATTAAGGAAATAACTCGAGAGTACTCTGAGTAGTTTTTAATGATTGCTTTTATCTTTGTGAGTGTTGTGTAGCATTCGCAAAGAATAGTTACAACGCTATGACATAAAAAAAGTGGCAGAAATATGAGAAAACATTTTGTGCTACTTTTGTTTGCAAACTTTCGCAACTATATATATAGTAACCCAACATCAGGTACACTGCCACAGATTTTTGCAAATTTTCTTGAACTTACAACTTTAAATAAAAGGAGTTTACGATTAAACTAACCTTCCCTCCGGGCCATAGTCAGTTTTCTCATTGGCTGTTCAGGTGCATAAGCCAGCTTTCTTTGAACTCTTGGTAGTAACTTGGTGTAACTATCAACTATGGCATTCCGGGCTGAGGCTCTCTCTCGTGCTTTAATGTCCGTTTCACTCTGTGAAATATTACATTACTTGTAATTAGATGATTTGGACTCTGCTGAATATTAAGTGCAAATATTGGGATGTACATGTATGTATGCTGTATCTTAGCCTGGGTACCTACTCTCCACTGAAGTCTGGATCTGCTGCTAAGATTTTGCTCATTAATTGGAAATTTATTGCAATATCCTGAATAATCACAATCTCATCACTATCAGTAGATATAAGGTGTGAGGAAAACATAAAACTGTCATTCATCGGTTTTAAATTAGCGTATTCAGATTACCAGAGTGCTATTTTTGTCAGCCAATCAATATTGTGGCCATCATTCAACAAGATGTTGAAAAAAACGTCACCACTACCAGAAAACGCTTACCATAAGACTGTGTTTCAACGTTTCATTCAGTCTAATCGCCTCCACGTATCGAGCCCGTTGTAAATAATGCATGACAAGAAGTTCCACCGAGTTCGGTTCCGTGCTGTCCTTTAAGTAACTGATCAGCGTTGACTCCTCCATCTGACTTAGGGGGAGCTTCAATAAATTATCAACTGTTTTAGCTGTTAAGGAAATAATATCAATTATTATTAAAATACAAAAACTATATTTCCGGTTTTAGAAATATTGAGTTTATCAGACAATATCACTTGTTCAAGGATGTGGTTGATACGAGTGACATCATGAATCACTGAGAGGATAATACAACCAAATATGAATAAATACATGCAAATGACATGATTAATATACCAAAGTGAATGTTATCAATCACAGTAGAAGCTACATGCATAAAATTACTGTTACAATTAAATCAAAATCTTGCTAATATCATCTCACAGGCTAAGTTATGAGTCTCAATTATCCAACAACTACATTGTATCTTTGATGACATCAGGTAATCAAGCTCTTTGTAGCAAACTGTCATATTTTTTTGCCATGCAAGCACTTTGATTTAGGGACGACGTCAAAAGATCAATGTCGGATAAAAAACTTATTTCCTTTAGTTTGGGGGTGGGGGGTTTTAACCTCAAAAAGTTTCCATCCTACAAAAACGATTTTATTTTTTAATGAAGTCAAAAGTCAAAAAAATCTTGGAGTATTTGTAGTTCGTTTTTTTCTATCCAATCATGGACAGAAATAACCGAAAAGGAAAAAAACACACATCCAAGACGAGAAAATAGTTTGGTTCTGAGTGTAAATCTGTGCATCAAATGAGGTGCATTTGTAAAATCTTTTTACACCCACCCGACAACCAACTGCTACGCAATACTACTGTCCGATTATCAATTTGTATTTAATGGTGAATGTAGTCTGACGCCATGACCAATATTTATCAATTAAGTTTCAGTGGGGGGGTAGGGGGATTGGAAAAAAACTAAAGGAATTAAGTTTTTTATCCGACATTGATCTTTTGACGTCGTCCCTTAATTGTTATTATAAAATACTTTCTCTCGACATTAACCATGAGAGTCTGATCTTGATACAGAATAATATTGGCAGGGTCAGTTGTGATGGCAGCAGCTAGGACTGGAGTGATAGAGACAAGGGGTGGGGCATTGGTAATCAGTTTCAACTTTCAGTTACTGTAAAGTAATTTATTTTCACTTTAATTTTATTTTCAAGTGAAAATACCCTTTTATATTATTTTTTACATTTAACCAATATTATCAAATATTAGTGAAAATAAACTTAATATAAAAAATTAATTCCAGCTAGAATAGAGTATTTTACAGTAGCTTTACAGACCATAAAAATAGCGGGAATCAAAACTGGTATCTGAAGACCCTGATAAATTTATACTAAGATTTCATTACCAATCGTTAAGATTTTGAGAAGCCAGTCTGGTAATCACTTTAGTGTTTTTTCCATCCTTGTCGTACTTACTTTGCTGTGCTCCTAAAAAGAGGTGATATAGCAGCTCTTCGGCATTCTCCTGATCTCGATAGAGTCTTTGGAAGTGAAATGCTTCAGCTGTTAACCTATGGTACAGTCGTTTTAATGATTAAAACAAGATTCAAATGACACAGATGCATTAGACTCTCAATAATCTGAGAATGTTAGAGATGCTTCAGAAGAACAGCACCCTCATATGACCATGAACATAATACTATTGTTTTTATTAAACTTCATCAAACTAGAAGTATTAAACGCTTGGACAGAGAAAATAAAACAAAGTGACCAACAAAGCATGAGAAAATTATGTAACATGATTAAACTAAGGGGTGAACCATTTACAATTGTTAGAGGGAGCTTGACGAAAAATATGTTAGCTGAAATAGTCTTGCATATAGTTAAAGGACGGTGGTCGTCACGCTGTGCATATGTGACATTTGCTGTGATAAACATTGATTCTCCAACAATCCAATGCGTTCTTCTAATGGAAATCAAAAGTACGATATGAGTTTTCACCTGGGGGGGGGGCGACTTGCACTAATTACTGCTGACGACTCTTTCGATACCTTCCAATTACCTAATAAATTACCTAATTAAAACATCTCAATTTGTATTCGTTGATCTGCACAAGTCAAAAACGCCATCTTATTTATACGAGATCCATATCTTGCGCATGCGTAGCACGACGACCACCGTCCTTTAATATGTCATAATCAAGTCGCAATAAAAAAGAAAGACAGTAGTTTTATCACTGATGGCGCTAGCGTGGAAATCAAAGTGAGAGTTGAATCTTTTGAGAGCTACATTTCTGAACAGAAACCATCACACAGAGACATTCAAAAGAGACGCAACAATGACAGTAACTGAAACATGGAGTACTGCATGTAGCAAATGCAGAATAACAGAATGCAGAATACAAGTTATTAACCCCTTCCCCCCTCTGAATTCAATTCACCTAACCCTAATATTGTAATATAAATATACTAGTATCTACTCATGAAAGCCAGTAGTCATTAAAGTACACTGTACCAGAGTATTACAACATTTACTCCATTAGAAGCATATCTTTAATATGAGTGACTACATCTCTAATAGTAGAACATATACATAGCTGTAAAATTAAATTAATTTTGAACATAGACACACCTGTGTTATTTAGCAAGTGTATACGCTACTAATAGAGCAAATACAGTATTTTGATCACACATCGCTGTCATATAGAGAAGCATGTGCATTAAAATGAAGTATTCATTCCTCACCCGTTTGTCAGCAATACTGACAAGTGTAGTTTGACGTCATTCAGGGTCTCCATCGCTGGCTGTTTTGTTCGTATGTACTGCAAAGCCTTCTGGGATTCCCCTTGATAAAGAAATGCTTTGATGATGCGGCTATGTTGCCATGGTGACACATTCATTGTGATGACTGGATCAAGGAGTCGATTCAGTGCTTCCTGGTAAGTACAATAAATATTTACAATAAAATTGTCAATTGTCATGAATATAAAGTTTATTTGAAAACAATCTGACAAAAATAAAAATGATAGGAATGACCTATAACCTAATATTTATAATGGCAACAAAAATGTATTACCCATAATTCAAAATGGATGTCTGACCTTACGACCTACAATTCAAAATGGATGTCTGACCTTACGACCTACAATTCAAAATGGATGTCTGACCTTACGACCTACAATTCAAATGGATGTCTGACCTTACCACTTACAATTCAAAAAATAGATGCTTGACCTATAACCTATCATTCAAAATGTCCGACCTGTGACTCACAGCTCAAAATGGAAGCCTA